GAGGAAATGTTGAAGAAATAAAGAAGCTGACAGCTTGATCCCTCTGCCAAAAAGACTTGATACTACTATTGATTCAGTGTTGATAAGCAGTGAAGAAATTATAGAAGAAAATAATTCACTTGTGTGTCTGTTCATTTAAAAGCAGCAAAGACAACAACTTGGTCTGTGGTGAAGATAATGAATTTTGATAAATAGAACTGGTTGTTGAAGTCAGTGATATTGAGCAGAGAGTCTTATGTTGGTCAAATACACAGTAACATTTCTCAAGTATCAGAAGTGCTAGAACTGCTGAATATCTGCATTGCAAAGGATTGAAGAGGCTGTTAAAGGTGCTGTGCTCCTCCCTAAGATGAAAAGAAGGATGGAGGTACCAAGAAGGAATTGTTTAATAGTGAGAATTTGAGGGATGGCTTGGGGGAAAAATCAAAAACGCTGGAGTTGTGAAGGAAGCAAGGGGGGAATTAAAGGATTTTTCTTCCATGTTTCACAGCAGAGATGGTCGCATGCAACTGTATGATATAAAATATATTGCATACGTTGGGTTCAGCTATTAATATGATGTGTGTGGAGTTACTTGGCTCCAAAAGGAAGTAGCAGACTAGATGGAACCTATTAGTAAGTCCCTTATCAGTTAATTTTAGGATGAATGTTTGTTAATGTTAATGAATGACTTGGCATCAATCTCTTTGAAGGCATTTGGTTCAGAGGAGGAGCCAGACAGGAAAAAAAGAGACCTGGGAGAATCCCAGCAATGAAAGTGGTACAAAGTGTCACGATAGGTCTCATAAACACAGAGATGGAAAATAGTATGGGGTTTCTAGTACAGATTAAAATTGAGCTGGGAGCATGAAGGAGCTCTGGAGAAAGGTAGACCGCGTTTGGGATGTGTTAGGTGAGATAGCTGCAGAAGAAATGTAGGTGTAATTGTACGAGATCGTGGTGAAATCTTAACAGGGATTACATTTATTTTGGCCTCCTTGGGTTCAAGGAGGATGAATGGAAATGGAAGCCAGTGGTTGAGGAGGTTTGCTGGGACAGGGAAGTGACGAAATGTCATGCGAGAAGCTTATCTACTGTGTTGGGAAAGGGTATTGCAGCTGTTGCCTGTGAATCCTTCAACGGAAGAACATGGGAAGGGCAAAGGGAGATCTGCTTAAACAGATGGTCTGTAGTGCTTGGACAAGTGGAAACAAGGCGTGGTAAAAGGAATTCAGAGTTGTTCCTAACCATGAAGGAACTGGAACGGTCTTTTGGCTGGGCCCTTGGTGTGTTTGCATAAGGAGTGGTGGAACAGTTAAGAGAGGTGTTGGACTTTACTCTCATTGCAACTGTGTTATTTCCAGGGAGAGACAGGTTTTCTTTGGCATTTTCTAGAATTCTGATTTTTCTTACTGCCCAGTGAAAGCATGATTTTGAGTCTGAGACACATATGTGCAAACAGTTGTGGAAATTATGTGGTCAGCACATCCTTGCACAGCAAAGGAAGCAAATGCCTTAAAAGAAAACAGCATGGGGAAGGAGGAATATGCGATACTCTCTTTCTCCTCAAGTCTGGTGAGGGTTACTAGTGGTAATCCCAAAGAACAGAGTGAATACTGTAAGAATTAAGAGTGAATACTGTAAGAATTAAGAGTGAATACTGTAAGAATTAAGAGTGCAGCAGAGTTAAAAGGCAAAACTTAACATTTTTTTAGATTTGTATTTTCTCCCTTGTCTGCATATCCGTGACTGAGTCTCTCAGCTCCTTCATTTGCTTCTCATGTGTAAATGTAGGAGAGACCAGGCACTTTTGAGATGGAAACCATTTAATATGAACTGTGGCTTTAGTACCAAAATGTAAGCACCTGTATGCTTTGCAATATATTGGTGCTTTGGAAATGTTTAAATTGGTTAAGGACTCTAGTCTATGCATCTCGAGTTACTTTTATCACTAGCTTTTAGCCCCAAGAAACACAGGATGTTAAATCACTTATTTTTTTATCTGCTCCTGGGAAACTACTGAAAGCCTGGGAAGGAAATGGTTGTTCTGAATTAGTTACTCTGTGGTATTTAGAGGGAATAGGTAATTCCAGGTGAAAAGCAGTTGCTGGTGACATTTTGTCCATATTTCTTCATGTAGAGCAGTAGATGTCATGGCTTTTGCAGAGATTTTGTAAAAATAGAACTGCCTGGTTCAGATGGTAAAATCACATTCCTCTTGTGGATATGCACCCTTAAAAACAACCCACCATTACAAATATCTCTGGTATTTCCATCAGCATTTAGCTGACCATGAATGCCAGTATTACAGTTGCAACATAGCATTTGTCTTCAAAACTGTTTTCTTTGCAAACATCACACCCAACTGTCTGCTCTCCTCAAACAGAGGATGTCCTACACTGATCTTGCTGCATGTAAGAACAATGTGAAGGCTGGAAACCTTTTGTGGAGTTAATATTTATCTGACTCTAATAAAAAAATACTCCGTATACTAGGACTGCACTGAATTAACTCGCTAATTTTTTCTAGATGTAAGTAATCCTGAAAGCAAATAAAGTAACTTGGTTGAGTTAAATTCCTAAGTTAACACTGAAGAACAGTGGCAAGGCCTTGTGTATGCCGCAGTGCCAGAACTCACCATTACCTTCTGTGATAGTTTCACTGGGCTAGCCCTTGGCTAGCAGCCAACACAGCCATTCACCC